CCCAGCGAGGCGGAGGGCTGGGCGCGGTAGGAGGCCGCCTGCCCGGTGGTCGGCTGAGGGCGGTAAGCCATGCCGAGGGAGGCCGAGGGCTGCGCTCTGTAGGTCGCTCCCAGGGAAGCGGAGGGCTGCGCTCTGTAGGTGGCCGGCTGTGCCGTCATGGGAAGCGTCACCGTCGAATAGCCAGCTCTCGACGGGGATCGCCGAAGCGGGCTTCTGTCCCTCCCGAAGTAGGAAGGGGAGGCGGGCCTCGCCTGAGGGTCAAAGGAATCGTATTTGTTTGCGCTGTTGCCGCCGAAGCGTTGCTGGTAATCGTACAGCGAGGAGGAGGCGTATCCTGCCGTGGCTGAGGGGAAGGTGGAGTCTGCAGCCCTCCGCTGGTCAAAACCATCTATCTTGGGTTGAAATTTTTCCCTATACTCCAGACCTATTCTCTTGTTCTTGTCAACAATGATGCCTGCCTGGATAGTCTGGGCTGCTCCCTTTTTCTGAACATTAGTAGAGAGTTCCACATTGACTCTTCTTCCTTTCACTTCCTTTCCATTAAGATTTTCGATGGCAACTTTTGCATCTGCTTCGTTCTCCATGTGAACAAATGCATAGTCTGATAAAGCAGCAGACAGAGGGTTATCAGTGGGGAAGAAAACAACATTTTATTACAGGATCGAACACTTACTTAACGAGGCACGCATCTCAGCTATTGCTTAAACACAGCCTGGGTATTTATGGGCCGCAGAATTGCGGCCCCTCTAGCGAACTATAGCAGCGTGCCGTGCGGCTTAGCAAAGATCCCGCAGGTTTCACAGTCTAACAAGAACAGGAAAGAGGAACAAGCACTGGTATCTAAACAGGCTCCTTTTATGTTGTACCTGCCCTGTCCTGCTGCTAGAAAAAACCCAAATCCTCACAACTCCCCAAATCTAATTCACGCCGGGCAGTATAATCCCAGCGATCTCTGCAGTTACCGCTACCATTTTAAATTCCAGATGTATCGACAGCTGAAACTCTCGCCACTTATTTGGAGCAACTTTACCCTTCCCACTTATTTTAGAAAGGTGCTGAGTGACTGAGGCTGCGCTTGAGCCCCAGCGGCTGCACAGCGCCTTGCACAGACACGACGTGACGAACGCTTCCGCCAGCGTCACAGCACCAACTCGCCGAGCGCTCCGAGCCACGCCGAGGCCAGCGCTCGTCTGCGGGCCCGGGGTGCTCCCGGGGCCCTGCGGGGCCGCGCACCAGCTAAGGGGCAGCACTGCAAACCTCTGCGCACCTCCCTGCCGTTTACAAAGACCCAAGCTTGAGCAGAGCAACCTACAGCATCTTGGCTTGTTTAAATTACGTGAGCAAAACAAGTATCTTCTTACAAGCCAGACTAGCTAATGCCTTGAAGCAACTGCACGTTCTCTCAGCTTACTATTGGAAAAGCAGGAATCACCAGCAATTTCAAGTCTGTAAGCTCCGAGGAACCGCCAATTAACTAGTGTACTGTAAGAGCTATCATCCTAATTAAGAGAAATTATTATAAACAGTAGCACAAATATCTACTATTTCTATTAAAATGCTAATTATACCGTGGTGGCAAGAGTTCAAAGTAACCCATGAGCCAAAGCTGCTTTCCTTTCTTTGGAATGAAAGTTTCTTCGCTTCTCCCTGGCATGCGCACCTTACAGAGAAGTCCGTACCAATCGTAAGCAGGATGGGAAAAGGCAACTGATCCCTGCTCAAGCAGCCAATGCTTTCTGCTGTCTTTTCACGCGCTGAGCTTTGAATTGGGAATTGGTTCAGAACACAATCCCTGAGACGGGACGGGCTCGTGCCACATTTAAAGCTGTTCCCTAGATGGCTTAGCCGAGCCACTCCTTCGGCACGGGAGACACGTGGGAACTAACAACTCCCAGGACGGCAGCGAGACCTTACAAGCTCCGCTCCTGCCCTCCCTCCTGGAAGCCAGAGCAAAGTCAGTCACGCACGACTAGTGTCCTGGAGAAACACCGGCTGTTTTGTACCAAAAGGGATGGAGAAAGCCAGCAGCTACTCCAACAGCGGCAACTTCGGCTGGGCACCGCAGCTGGTGGGACCTGCCGCCCGCCCAGACCCTCACGCAGCCTTCTCCAGCTCAGCTGTCTTGGGGACTGTCCCGAGAGCAGCCACGTCTGGAGCGGTGCCATCTCCCGAGGGCCCTCTCGCTGTGCCCCCGCAGCCCTAGGGGGGCAAAGAGCCAAGCCAGGCGACGCTCTCAGTGCTGGGAGATGGCTCCAGCCTCCTCCATCGCAAACGGGCCTCTGTGAGCGAACAACAAGGCATAGTGAAACACGGAGAGTTTAGGCTGTAGAGGAAAGCATCTTAGCAAAACCTTTCCGACACGCACCAGCCCTCTGCGCACTCACGCATACCTTTGAGACAAAGGTATCCAGTCAAAAATTTAAGCTCCAGGAAAGGAAAAACCTGCTAATGTAACTGGGGAATAGCAACGCTCACTCAAGACCAAAACAGTAAAACACGCAGACTTGGCAAGTTTCTCAAGTAGTCAGAAGCAACTGAGCGTCCCACACCTGAGCAGGCTGCAGGGGTAACAGCTTAAAAGGGGCATTGAAGCAAACGAAGCAACATGCCACCCGCAGTTAAAGAACGGCCAGCTCGCGCTTAGCTTCTCACGCGTCCTTCCTCAATTCCTAGCAGGCTGCAAGGCAGGGCGCTTCCCTAAGACGCCGGTTCCCAGAAGGCGTCCCGCAATTAGTGCCTCGAGCAGGTCTCGAACACGCGCTGCGCGCCAGCTCCTGTGGCCTGCACAACGCGCAAGGTCAAAGTTTTATCGGCCATGCAGTACAAGAGCAACAAGAGCGGAGGAGACGCTCTCGCAGCTTGGCTGGCGGGCAGGGGCACAGAGCCGCCTGCAGGGTCCTCGGAGGAAAGGACGACCCAGGGAGAAGAGCGAGTGCAGCGACACCCTGTCGCGCTCAGCGCTGGGGACAGGAGATGACATCGCCAGGGCAAAGGGCTTTGTGGTACCGAAAGGTTCATCTTGGGCCACTGTGGGAAATCTTGCTCATTTGGTTGAGTCAGAAAAGTGGAAGTTGGACACAGCTGTGTTCAGAGAGGGCCTCTCTGTCCTCGGTGTTGGGGTCTGCATAGCTCTTTCAAAGCCTTCATACTAGGAAGGACTGGAGGCTGAGGACTGAGAGGAATTCAATTTGATAAGGTATTATACATGTCCAGAGGGGAGAAAAAAAACACACGCGCTGCAAGGAGCTGAGCAAACAACAAACAGTGCAGTAAAGGGAATCATTAACAAGGCATCGAAGCAGAGAAACGTCAAAAAGCAAGTCAGAAAAAAGAGGAGAGAGAAGCGTTAGAAACAGGATAGCTCCAACCCAGAAGTTTGCTGCTCTCCTGCGCTAGGCTCTGCTGGTGGACCTGCTCCCGGGATCTGAGGTGAGAAAGCAGGTTGCGCCTCACAGCGCAGGACGCTGGGGCTCTGGCCAGCCTGTCAGACCTGTGTTCGTTCCCAGGGGGATGATACTAAGGCAGAGTTTTCCCCTAGAGCCACTGCAGCTGATTAATTGAGCTGGCACTGTTAACGACAGCGCGTCAGGCAGGAGGCTGCACCTCGAGGGGAGGCTTGACCCGTGCCTACGTCAGAGCTGAGGGCCGCTCGCGGCGCTTTCGGCAACGCAGGGCCTCCTAGGCTCGCGGGGAACGAGCTCCAGGCCCGCTCCGCAGTTACGTATCCTACGGGAGAGCAGTTCCCTCTGCTGTAACGAGGGGAAACGGGCAGGGGGGCAGGCGAGTGGCGTAAGCCTGCGAGCACAGTGCTGCTGACCGGCCTTCGGATACTGCTGCCCACGGGAGCCCCATGGCGCTCAACGACTTCCTGCGGGTCCAGGGGGGGAGAGGGGGGGGCTTTATCCCAGAGTCGCATCACGACGGGTCCGGGAGATCGGAAGGTGGCGCAGGGCACAACGAGCGTTTTTGCTCTGGGGCAAGACAGGCGGCTAATTTCCGAGCCTCCCTCAGTGGCGGACTCGCGCTACCAGGACGAGCGCACAACCCCAGACCGTAACCCCAAAATCGGTTAGAAAAGCAGCGACACCTCTTGCGGTATCTTCCTTTTCGTCCGTGTGCGGTTACAGGGGCTCACGTACCAGAGGCCGCAGTAATCAACACTGGCACAAACAAGGGTTCCCGGTGACAGCTAGCTTAAGTCTAAGGCCAGAGGGTCCTTCGCCTTACACCACCCCCGTTTACAGCTTCTCTGGGGCTTTTCTGAGTTTTGTTTCAGCTTTTAATACTTGGGTTCTAGGGCTGAGCAAAAGGGATAGAAAACGTCAGACAGCGCATTCACAGAATTTCAGCACACTCAGATGTATCATTCGCTAAATAACGCAGCCAGCACTAGAACTGGGTGAATACTGTAATCACGTCTCAAGTTCCAGCTAAAGCATCATAAACGTGACTGTTACTGCACCTATCACTGCTCCTTCGTTCCCCTTCCTCTCCACACCAAGATCCCACCCCTCTCTCTGGCTCCTTCCAACATTTCGCAGCAGACTGAAGAGCCAGAGAAGGGAGTAGTACGCTTGCTGCTGAAGACGACACTGCGTAGATGCTACACCTAATCAACTGCCCCAAAACTGCTACAATTCTTGAAAAGCTCTAGCCCTTAAGTCTGCATACCCTGCTCTGGCAGCTTAACAGGGACTTCTTCCCCATCTGGCCCAAGCCCCACCTGATCTGCCTGGTTCCTCGCAGCTTGATACCTCTTCCCATCACAGCCTTTAAGCAGCCGCCGCACCTCCGTCCCCCTTTGGAGGCTGTCAAAGATCCCACAAATCAAACACAGACTGAAGCAAAGCTAGAGGCGCCACGTAGGTGCCGTTTCTTAACGGTAATGGACTCCACTGGGGAAAGTCTGTTCCTGGTGGGGGCAGGACGGATCAGAAAGGAGCCTTTGAGACTGTCACCTGGGACGAGAGAGCAGAGGTAACAAAATCATCTACCCACAAGGAGTTTGGAATTGACGGAGACGTCTACCCCAGTAAGAAACACGTACCTGGAGGAGCTGCCACACCTTGCATCTCCAGCTAAGGAGAGGCCCTAAGCCGGGGGAACGCCATTTAGGTGGCAGCTATTCCAAATCAAGGTTAGGGGAACGGAGGGCTGTCTCGGCATGAAGCAATTCATGCCAACGACTCTGTACTCCCCAACTAAACTGGGCTGACAAGGTCCTCGATACAGACCAGGCAAACCCCTTAAGAACTTTCATGGCGTGTGTAAGAGTTTTACCGGTGATTCAGAACTGCCGCTTTAGCGGATGGGGGAGTGGCTCGCGACGAAGCGGTCTCCATTGCCACGCTCTCGTGCTGAAGGGGACGAGCGGCGGGGGGGGGAGAACGGGACTCAGGCAGGACTGCGGGAGACGGTCACGGCAGGGCAAGGGGAGGCACCTCAGGAAGAGGGGGCAAACTACGGGAGGACGCAGCGATCTAAGCAACACGCGCGCGGGCGGTGGGTTATCTCTGTCCGACCCAGATCAGGGCTGGTGAGATGACGATGAGGTCTGCGGCCTAATAGCAAAAGCTGGAGAGAACGCATCCCCGGTTAGAAAAGGGGGGTGGGAGATTGGGGGACAAGGAAGGGGACAGGGATGGGATGAAGATGAAGGCAAGGATGGGGACAGGGACAGGGATGGGGACAGGGACAGGGATGAAGATGGGATGAGGACGGGGATGGGGATGAGGATGGGATGGGGATGAGGATGGAATGGGGATGGGGACAAGGAAGGGGACAGGGATGGGATGAAGATGAAGGCAAGGATGGGGACAGGGACAGGGATGGGGACAGGGACAGGGATGAAGATGGGATGAGGACGGGGATGGGGATGAGGATGGGATGGGGATGAGGATGGAATGGGGATGGGGACAAGGAAGGGGACAGGGATGGGATGAAGATGAAGGCAAGGATGGGGACAGGGACAGGGATGGGGACAGGGACAGGGATGAAGATGGGATGAGGACGGGGATGGGGATGAGGATGGGATGGGGATGAGGATGGAATGGGGATGGGGACAAGGAAGGGGACAGGGATGGGATGAAGATGAAGGCAAGGATGGGGACAGGGACAGGGATGGGGACAGGGACAGGGATGAAGATGGGATGAGGACGGGGATGGGGATGAGGATGGGATGGGGATGAGGATGGAATGGGGATGGGGACAAGGAAGGGGACAGGGATGGGATGAAGATGAAGGCAAGGATGGGGACAGGGACAGGGATGGGGACAGGGACAGGGATGAAGATGGGATGAGGACGGGGATGGGGATGAGGATGGGATGGGGATGAGGATGGAATGGGGATGGGGACAAGGAAGGGGACAGGGATGGGATGAAGATGAAGGCAAGGATGGGGACAGGGACAGGGATGGGGACAGGGACAGGGATGAAGATGGGATGAGGACGGGGATGGGGATGAGGATGGGATGGGGATGAGGATGGAATGGGGATGGGGACAAGGAAGGGGACAGGGATGGGATGAAGATGAAGGCAAGGATGGGGACAGGGACAGGGATGGGGACAGGGACAGGGATGAAGATGGGATGAGGACGGGGATGGGGATGAGGATGGGATGGGGATGAGGATGGAATGGGGATGGGGACAAGGAAGGGGACAGGGATGGGATGAAGATGAAGGCAAGGATGGGGACAGGGACAGGGATGGGGACAGGGACAGGGATGAAGATGGGATGAGGACGGGGATGGGGATGAGGATGGGATGGGGATGAGGATGGAATGGGGATGGGGACAAGGAAGGGGACAGGGATGGGATGAAGATGAAGGCAAGGATGGGGACAGGGACAGGGATGGGGACAGGGACAGGGATGAAGATGGGATGAGGACGGGGATGGGGATGAGGATGGGATGGGGATGAGGATGGAATGGGGATGGGGACAAGGAAGGGGACAGGGATGGGATGAAGATGAAGGCAAGGATGGGGACAGGGACAGGGATGGGGACAGGGACAGGGATGAAGATGGGATGAGGACGGGGATGGGGATGAGGATGGGATGGGGATGAGGATGGAATGGGGATGGGGACAAGGAAGGGGACAGGGATGGGATGAAGATGAAGGCAAGGATGGGGACAGGGACAGGGATGGGGACAGGGACAGGGATGAAGATGGGATGAGGACGGGGATGGGGATGAGGATGGGATGGGGATGAGGATGGAATGGGGATGGGGACAAGGAAGGGGACAGGGATGGGATGAAGATGAAGGCAAGGATGGGGACAGGGACAGGGATGGGGACAGGGACAGGGATGAAGATGGGATGAGGACGGGGATGGGGATGAGGATGGGATGGGGATGAGGATGGAATGGGGATGGGGACAAGGAAGGGGACAGGGATGGGATGAAGATGAAGGCAAGGATGGGGACAGGGACAGGGATGGGGACAGGGACAGGGATGAAGATGGGATGAGGACGGGGATGGGGATGAGGATGGGATGGGGATGAGGATGGAATGGGGATGGGGACAAGGAAGGGGACAGGGATGGGATGAAGATGAAGGCAAGGATGGGGACAGGGACAGGGATGGGGACAGGGACAGGGATGAAGATGGGATGAGGACGGGGATGGGGATGAGGATGGGATGGGGATGAGGATGGAATGGGGATGGGGACAAGGAAGGGGACAGGGATGGGATGAAGATGAAGGCAAGGATGGGGACAGGGACAGGGATGGGGACAGGGACAGGGATGAAGATGGGATGAGGACGGGGATGGGGATGAGGATGGGATGGGGATGAGGATGGAATGGGGATGGGGACAAGGAAGGGGACAGGGATGGGATGAAGATGAAGGCAAGGATGGGGACAGGGACAGGGATGGGGACAGGGACAGGGATGAAGATGGGATGAGGACGGGGATGGGGATGAGGATGGGATGGGGATGAGGATGGAATGGGGATGGGGACAAGGAAGGGGACAGGGATGGGATGAAGATGAAGGCAAGGATGGGGACAGGGACAGGGATGGGGACAGGGACAGGGATGAAGATGGGATGAGGACGGGGATGGGGATGAGGATGGGATGGGGATGAGGATGGAATGGGGATGGGGACAAGGAAGGGGACAGGGATGGGATGAAGATGAAGGCAAGGATGGGGACAGGGACAGGGATGGGGACAGGGACAGGGATGAAGATGGGATGAGGACGGGGATGGGGATGAGGATGGGATGGGGATGAGGATGGAATGGGGATGGGGACAAGGAAGGGGACAGGGATGGGATGAAGATGAAGGCAAGGATGGGGACAGGGACAGGGATGGGGACAGGGACAGGGATGAAGATGGGATGAGGACGGGGATGGGGATGAGGATGGGATGGGGATGAGGATGGAATGGGGATGGGGACAAGGAAGGGGACAGGGATGGGATGAAGATGAAGGCAAGGATGGGGACAGGGACAGGGATGGGGACAGGGACAGGGATGAAGATGGGATGAGGACGGGGATGGGGATGAGGATGGGATGGGGATGAGGATGGAATGGGGATGGGGACAAGGAAGGGGACAGGGATGGGATGAAGATGAAGGCAAGGATGGGGACAGGGACAGGGATGGGGACAGGGACAGGGATGAAGATGGGATGAGGACGGGGATGGGGATGAGGATGGGATGGGGATGAGGATGGAATGGGGATGGGGACAAGGAAGGGGACAGGGATGGGATGAAGATGAAGGCAAGGATGGGGACAGGGACAGGGATGGGGACAGGGACAGGGATGAAGATGGGATGAGGACGGGGATGGGGATGAGGATGGGATGGGGATGAGGATGGAATGGGGATGGGGACAAGGAAGGGGACAGGGATGGGATGAAGATGAAGGCAAGGATGGGGACAGGGACAGGGATGGGGACAGGGACAGGGATGAAGATGGGATGAGGACGGGGATGGGGATGAGGATGGGATGGGGATGAGGATGGAATGGGGATGGGGACAAGGAAGGGGACAGGGATGGGATGAAGATGAAGGCAAGGATGGGGACAGGGACAGGGATGGGGACAGGGACAGGGATGAAGATGGGATGAGGACGGGGATGGGGATGAGGATGGGATGGGGATGAGGATGGAATGGGGATGGGGACAAGGAAGGGGACAGGGATGGGATGAAGATGAAGGCAAGGATGGGGACAGGGACAGGGATGGGGACAGGGACAGGGATGAAGATGGGATGAGGACGGGGATGGGGATGAGGATGGGATGGGGATGAGGATGGAATGGGGATGGGGACAAGGAAGGGGACAGGGATGGGATGAAGATGAAGGCAAGGATGGGGACAGGGACAGGGATGGGGACAGGGACAGGGATGAAGATGGGATGAGGACGGGGATGGGGATGAGGATGGGATGGGGATGAGGATGGAATGGGGATGGGGACAAGGAAGGGGACAGGGATGGGATGAAGATGAAGGCAAGGATGGGGACAGGGACAGGGATGGGGACAGGGACAGGGATGAAGATGGGATGAGGACGGGGATGGGGATGAGGATGGGATGGGGATGAGGATGGAATGGGGATGGGGACAAGGAAGGGGACAGGGATGGGATGAAGATGAAGGCAAGGATGGGGACAGGGACAGGGATGGGGACAGGGACAGGGATGAAGATGGGATGAGGACGGGGATGGGGATGAGGATGGGATGGGGATGAGGATGGAATGGGGATGGGGACAAGGAAGGGGACAGGGATGGGATGAAGATGAAGGCAAGGATGGGGACAGGGACAGGGATGGGGACAGGGACAGGGATGAAGATGGGATGAGGACGGGGATGGGGATGAGGATGGGATGGGGATGAGGATGGAATGGGGATGGGGACAAGGAAGGGGACAGGGATGGGATGAAGATGAAGGCAAGGATGGGGACAGGGACAGGGATGGGGACAGGGACAGGGATGAAGATGGGATGAGGACGGGGATGGGGATGAGGATGGGATGGGGATGAGGATGGAATGGGGATGAGGATGAGGACAGGATGGGGATGGGGACAAGGAAGGGGACAGGGATGGGATGAAGATGAAGGCAAGGATGGGGACAGGGACAGGGATGGGGACAGGGACAGGGATGAAGATGGGATGGGGATGGGGACCGGACAGGATGGGGACGGGATGGGGACAGGGATGAGGAAGGGGATGGAGATGGGATGAGGATGAAGGCAAGAATGGGGACAGGGATGGAGACAGGGACAGGAATGAACATGGGATGAGGAAGGGGATGGGGACAGGGACGAGGAAGGGGATGGAGATGGGATGAGGATGAAGGCAAGAATGGGGACAGGGATGGGGATAGTGACAGGGATGAGGATGGGGACAGGAAGGGGATGGGGACAGGGATGGGATAGGATGGGCATGGGATGGGGACAGGGACGGGGATGGGATGAGGATGAAGAAGAGGATGGGGATGAGGATGGGGACAGGGATGGGGAGGGGGACGGGAACGGGAGTGGAATAGGGATGGGGACAGGGAGCAGGATGGGGACGGGGACAGGACGAGATGGGGACAGGGGACAGGGACAGGATGAGGACGGGATGGGGACAGGGGAGGGGAACAGGACGAG